GAAGAGACGTCGGCAAAGCTTCCTGTGCGTCAAAGGATTCGTCACTGCGTTGACGACAGCCGGTGCCAAGATCGAGCGCATTGGGATGGCGTGACTACCAATGCGGAAAGCCGACTGACGCCCGCTCGCGCGAAGTGGCATTCAGTTGCGATAGCGACATCAGCAGCACAATATCGAGGCGTGACGCTTCCGCTTTTGAGATACTGCTCATTGGCCGGCAACAACGGTGACAGCCACCTTCGCGACAACGGTCGATGCATCATGCACACTCGGCCGCGGGGACTGCTGCTGCTGGGCCTGGGCATTGGACAGACTTCACGGTCGCGACAACAGGCCGCGGAGAAGCCGTCCACTCGCAAACCGTCGAGCCCTCGACCAAAAAGCAATGCAGACAACGTAGTGGAAGTGCCGGGATGACGCCGCGTTGGACGTGCCGTTCGGACTCCTGCTTGGTTATCGCCATGTCCGTGGTGGGATCAACCAACCCAAGACCTAGGTGCAATTCAATAATCCAAGAGTGGTCCAGCTGAGAGCAACCTGCCTGCCTATACTCGAGCTTCTGGTCCGACAGGGCTGCCCTCGCCGTGTTCCTGGTGACAAGGTCTCATCCCCACGGCGACCTGGCCCCGTTGCCGCATGTAGGGCGGACGGCCGGCGGCTATTGTCTAATTGAGTTCGCATGTCCAGGGTCAGAAAAGAGGGTCGCTGCTTTACACACAAGGCCGCCTCGCAGTCTTCTCGACGCCGCCCTCTCAAGCCCAGCACTGCCGGATCAACAACGCTGCTCGGTAGGGAATACGAGGCGCCACGACGGAATGGGTCCACTGGCTTCAGCGTCGGCAATCTCCATTGCAACCCTCTGGGCTGGGGTGATGCCATTATGACCAGGGAATCCTCGGGAGGAGGGCCTGCCAACCTATTTGGGCAACGCCTAGAGGACCTTGTCAGCGAAGAGCGGCGTATCAGTTCGGGCTCGAGGAAACTAATTGCACACTGCGGATCTGGTTCTCACCGGCGTGAGGTGCGTCCTGCGCACTGCATGTGACGTGTGCCCCGGGTGCTGGGCACCTACAGCCCGTGAGCGAGACCTAGTGCACCACTGGTGACAACTTGACAAGGGCCATGAATGGCAAAGGAAATGCGGCCTCAAGTCCATGCAGCCGCCCTGCCTTTGACAGAACACTGGGCGCGCGGCCCCGGGTTTGCAATGCCGACTGGTATGAGTAGAAGGCTGCGAGACGGTGGCTCAAGAGAACTTACGTGAGTGTCGAGGAAGCGGCGCAGCGTCGGCTAGCGAGCTTCTGTGACGGTGGCGGCGGTGCATATCGTGCTCATCATCTGGCGTCCAATGTCGGCAGGGCGATTTGGCATGGGACGAGCTGGGATAGAGAACGGCCAGGCAGGCCGTGCCGCAGATGACATCAACGCCGCCGATAGCAGACCTGGGCGCCCCGCAGCGAAGGGGATCAAGCTCCGGATGCCAGCTCCGGATGCCCAAATGCCCGGACCTCAACCCCCGGCAAAGGTGAACAGGCGATGTCGAGCTCACCTCAGAGGCGGCAAGACGGGCGGTTTTGGATTGCCGCGCGTTGGGCCCGGTGTGGCCTCGCCCTTCCACGTGCTAGCATCCTCCCCTTGCTTGGTTCCTGGACTGATCGCCAATAAGCGGAGATGGGCACGTCCCAGATGCCCTTCTGCTGTGTGAGACCCACAGAAGCACGAAACTCTCTTTTCTTTTCGCATCGTGGGCCGAAGTCGACGGCGGGCGAAAGTTGTGGCCCGAAGAGGCAAAGGCACGCTGGACTCTCAGCTCCCTTTGGGCCATCGACAGGTGGTTCAGGAGAGCACGGCCGGTGGACAATTGGGGACCCCTCATCGGTACCTCTCGGCGAGATATGGCTGTCTCACCCACGAACGATGTTTGGGATGGAAATTTGCCATCGAGTCCATTCCAGGAGGACACCCATTCCATCAGCCAGCGCTGCCAAAGTGTGGAGCGATCGTGGCCGCAGCGTCATCGTCGCGCCACGATGGCCAGGCCCCTGTGCTTGCTGGTGGCTGGGGGGACTTTGTACAGGACGGGCCAGCAGGATTGCGGGACGAATGCGATTGCCTGGCCTCGACTGGGCCACAACGGTACCTACATTGTCGTCTCGCCGCGGGTGCGTAGAAATAATTGCCCTATGAGCCGCATTTTGGCCGCTCAGCGGCCATGTTCCGCCGACCTTGGTAGCTTTCGTCTTTGGCGGATGGCGACGACGTGGAGTCCATCTGCATGTTTCTGTGCCTCGTAGTCGAGGGAGTGGCGGACCCCGGTCTGTCTTCCCAGACGGGAGGGGTCCCATCCCGTCTGTCCTGTCGGATCTGACGCGCCAAGTGCCAACGGAGGGCCCCAGCCCAGCGGGTGGAGGACGGGCGATGTGGCTCAGAGGGCGACGGCGCGTCGGCAATGACCGTTCATGCATGCAAGTGCGTACGCCGTGGACAGACAGGGACTTTCCCCACTCGATCTATCATCAGCAACCAACGGGCCCGGGAGCAGGAACCAGCGCTAGACGGGCTCGCTTGCATTCAAGGGCGCGGCGTACCTAGTACGTGTTTGTGTATTGTTTGAGTTGGCCTGGGACAGACGCTGCGCGAGCTTGATTCACCGGACGATGCCGTGCCTGCTTTGGGAAAGCCCGTGGCTCTCTGGCGCCCATATTTCGCTGCCTGCCTGTAGGCTTGTGTGAGAGGATGGTTGGGCGGCTCCAGCTGTTTGCTCGCCTGCGATGCGCGTGGAGGCCAAACTGCAACGGTGGCCCTGCGGAAGGCCCCCTGTGACAGGGCAGTGAGTGGTTCTTCCTGGCTGCAACCACTCGTCGACGGGTGCGGCCGCGGGGCGAACGGACGGGGATTGAGGCCATGACTTATGAGGTGCAACAATGGCCCTCTGTGCCTGAGTCGGAAGCAGGGAAGCGGGTTGGCGAGGGGGTCACGGGCGAGAGAAGTGGGACAAGGCATGGGCCACGGGTCACGGAGAGTGAGTTGGATGGCTTTCAAGGCCCGTAACTCCGGACCTTACCTAAGGTGAGGTGAGGAAGGAGCGAGGTGCCGTACTTGCTCGCTAGTACCTTTGCTCATTTGATGCGCAAGGCAGGTACGGCAGGTAAGAAGGGAGGGCCTTCCGCGAGGCAAGTGCCCCTCCCCCCCAGGTGCTTGCCTTCGTTACGGGCGGCACAGAGAGAGAGAGCGCGAGAGAGCGAGAGTATAACACGCCCCTCCCTCACTGGGTACGCCGTTGGTCGCCCGTCCATATGTCAACCGCGAGCAGAAGCACTCAACCTTGACTTTGAACGGGGCCATCAAACGGAAACACTCTCATGCCATCTGAATATGGCGTGCGCACCGGTCATTCAGGCCGACAGGCACCAAGGTCGGACGGAGCACCAGTACCAAGGTACGTCGGCGAGCATGGTTTGCCCTGCGCTGCCCTGCGCTGGCCTCCCCTGCCGAACCCAACTTGAAGCCAAGCACCAAGGTACCCGTCTCCCATAGAAGCGGCAGCAGGCCTGCCCTGTCTGTGTCTGGAGTGGAGGCGATCTCGGGCGCCCCCCCCGGTCCATCCATGGGTCCATGTCCCGTCGGCTAACACGCCCCGAGCTAACTGCCAGTAAAGCGAGTATTGCCTCGCGCACCCACAAAGGGCAGGGCATCTCAATCCATCCACCTCACCTCACCCCCAAGGGCAGCGCAGCAGCGCCTGGGTGCGTTAATACCGACCTGCGAGAGTCCCCCAGGCACCCTGCACACGCCCTCCCCTCCCCTCCCGCGCGGCGAGCAGCACACCACAGCACACCACCACACGGCGCTGCACCGCCCAGCAAGCACGCCTCAG